GGATTATTAAATCCTTGAACTTCTTGGTTTTTTCGCTTTCCCAATTACCACTGGCACTAATTTATGTGATCCATCAGAGTTTGCTCCAAGTAAAATTGAAAGTCTTTCCTTTTGGATTTTATATCCAGGAGCGATTTTTTCGAAAGTAGAGACGTATGTTCTATCAGGTAGGCAGCGGTAAAATAATCCGCTTTCGTCGACATTATATATTTATGATTTGAGTAATCCCATCTCATCAACCTTTGCACGAAATCTGTGAATAAACTGAGTGACTGAAGAAACATCACTAGAGAGAATCTCGCCAGAAATTTTTAAAAAACGGATTCCATGTCGCTTCTTAAATGGAATTAAGAATTAAATCGCTTCTCGGAATGCATTTTCATCCTTATCGGGATATTCCTCTTTAAATATTTGTTTGGCTTTCTCCTTTAGTATTGGCCCAGTTAACGCACATTTTCAGTGCTGTGCAGGGGTTTGCTCGTTGCCTCATGATAGGTGCTTGGAACAGCATTTTAAATTGCTGCTCTGTTTGATTTTATGTAGCTAACTGCAGATGGTGTTACATTATAGTCTATGGCTAACCGCTTCCCTTGAACACCTTTATCAAGTTTTTCTAAGATTTTAACTTTGGTTTCCAAGGATAAAGTTTTTTTTTTGCGTTTATTTAACATTTTCAATAATCTACTTTCACTTTTCTATAAAGACTGCAAAAATATGAACACGCGTATCGAATTTCACAAACAAACTAGCCAAAAATGTAAATAAATTCGACAAAAAATAATAAATTGCGAAAAAGGGGATTCCTCTTTTTCATTCTGGTTTGTTCAAAATAAAATAACGAATAACATGGACAAACCCACAAAAAAAAAAAAACTCTCAGAAATTGGAATGTTTAATTCTAATTTTAGAGCATGTAATGCTTTACAAAATTCAATTCTAATTTCTGGATGATTCGAATTTCAGAGAGTTCTAATTTGTGAACTTCTACTGTACATGATTTTCTATCGGTGAATTCTCCACAATCTCTGGCAGACCCTGACATTATGCTGACATACTTATTTCATGTCACTGAGTCACATACAATCAGTTGAAGTACCGCAATAACGCGCTTAAGCTTTTGTAGAATGTTTTTTAAGGTAATACTCGTATGTAGTAGGAAAATACTGCTGTATAGATATTTGGTTGATATTAGTGGCGGGAGAGCTTCATTTTTATTCCAAGTAACGACAGGTGCCGTTCTCTTAGTACCCACTGGATCAAAGAAACATAACATTTGAAACCAACCTGCGCAGAAATAAAAAAAAATAATAAAAAAAAGTAAGACCTATTTCCACATCGACAAAATGCTGAGTGAAAACTGCTGAACCTTGCATTGGCCTTTAACAGTTTGGACAATATGTTTGATGTCAATGTGTTAGATCCCTACATCCTCTACAGAGAGCACCACACTCTTCAGCTTATGACAATGAATGAATGTAAAAACTTCAGGAACAATCTTACCCATCACGATGGGTAAGACGTGTTTTGAGTTACCTTGGCTGTATTTTTTCGGCATTTTCTTGCACCTAACAACACGTGTCTTTTTTCAAGCGATTTTTTTTACAATAAATGAACCATATATCTTCATTTAAAATAACGTTAAGATATAATTGTACCAATGCCGTATATTAAGGATATCAAAATATTTCAACCCACTATTTTAGGAATAAAGACATTTTTCTAAAATTTTCCGTACCTAATCTAGACAATTCTAACCGCAATTTAAGATATCGTACTAAACGAGATTTAAAAGTTCAATACGTATTATTGTACCAATCGTTGGACACGTCCTTGTCCTTAAAATAGTGCTATCATCATTCAAAATATATTGTTAAAAAAAAACTGTTGACGTTAATTTTAAGGACAATAACATTACTTATAAAATCAAGTACAGGACATTTATTGTCCAGGCCTTTACGCTGTAGTAGAGAATAAAATATTTTACTTGTGTCCTATTTCGGTTCCAAAAATGTAGGTCACTTTAAACTGTCTATTTTAATTCTTTTAGTTTTAGTACATGAATAAAGCAAAGAAAAATTTTTCCATTTTTATTTTCATAGGCAACTGGCAATTATTAGCAACACAAATTTAAATAATAATTACTGTTTAGTGTAATTGCCTAAAAGTGTAATGCAGTCCAAATAATTATGCAAATTTTTAATGCTGTTATTTTGCTATTTTGCTCTATAAATATTAATAATTCAGAGTTTGTGCTATTTTTCTTTGTAACGATTTTGTTATCTGGAAACTCGATTAAAAATTTTAATTGTGAAATAATAATGCGTGCGTTGGAATTTAGGACATCGTTTAAAATTTTCGGTTTATTTTTGATTATGTACTGTATTTAAATTATACTGTATTTAAAAATTATTTACTTATTTCGTAAATTTTTATTAATATTCATAAATCACCTTTTCAGTACTATTTCGATTTTCAAGGCATAATTTATATTTATTTAACAATGAATTATAGTTTGGACAACTATATTGACCGACTTTTTTCACCGCACTATATGTTAAAATTAGTTTTCGATATATCTCGAACTCAAAAGTTGGGAATTTTTACATAATAAGCATTA